GTGATTTCAAATTGCCCTCCAGAAAGGTTAGCCACTTTCCACCCCTACCAAGAGCAAATGGGAATGCCCGTTCCTCCACCCCTCACCAACATGGAATGTTGTCAGGTTTATTCACATTTATCAATCTGGTAAGCAACAAATGAAATCTCAATTTACTTTTTTGGGGGGTTACCAGTAAAGTTTAGAATCTTTTCTTGTGATAACTGACCATTTCCCTTTCTCCCTTCTTTCCTTGCTTCTTCTTCTTCCTTCCTTTCTGTCTCTCTCTCTCTCTCTTTCTTTTGTGAATAGTCTGCATCCTTTGCCTGTTTTTCTATTGGAGTCTTCATTTTTATTTTAATAATTTGAAGGAATTCTTTGTATTAATCTTTTGTTGGTCCCATATCCCAAATAGTCTCCTCATATTTTCATTTATTTTCAACTGTTTTTATGATTTTACTTTTGATATATGAAAGCTTGAGTTCTATGTAGTCATTCTGTCAGTCTTTCCACTTCTGCTTCCTGAGTTTTCTATCATACATCCCAAGAGTATTAAAATGTTGAACTCTATTGCCTTCAGTACTTCTTATGTTTCTTTTATTTTTTTTATATTTTAGTCTTAGATATCTCTAGAATTTATTTTACTGAAATATAGCTAAAATTTTGTTTATTTCTAATTGCCAGTTGTCCACAAATCATTTATTGAGCTTTCTGCATTAATATGAAATAACCCTAAACTTCAAACACATGAAAACAATATGTGTTAATTTATGGACTAGCTTTTCCATTGATCTGGTTGCTTGTTCCTGTACCACAGTTCTGCCATTGCTACAGTTTTATAATACATTTTGGGGACCTGGAGAGCAAGTCTCCTCCATTGGCCTTTGTTCTGTCTATCCTTTCTTAAAGTCAGTTTTGATTTTTAATGTGATTGCATTTAATTTGTGGAAGAATTTAGGTGAAGATTATATTTTTAAAATATCCATCTGTCCAATAATAATCTTTTATTTGAGTCTTTTATTAGTGCATAAATAGAATTTTTAAAACTGTTATTTTCTTCAAAGGAGTCCTTCCACTTCTTATTAAATCTATATAAAGAGTAGAGAAGGGTCTGAGATTTTATCCTCTACAAGCAAGTAAGTTAGCCTGCCACAATGTCATGGATGCTGGCAGAAGAGAGATGACTCCTATGTCAGAGGCCAGCAGGTGGTATAGTCTTCATGTTCCCATCTGCTTTTCTTGTCCGCGTTCCATGGTGGAGGCTGCACATGCAGTAGCATAGCTGAGGAACTCTGAGCTTAGGAAACTCTGAAAGGTCAAGGCAAGCTTCCTTGAGCTAACTGATGAAGAATGAGAGGAATAAACCAGAGCGGGGAGAAAGAGCATTCCAGGCAAAGGGAACCACATGTGCAAAGGCCCTGTGGTGGGAGGAAGTGTGGCAACTATAAATACCTGAAAAAGAAGGCCACTATGGTGATTTCATTATCTTCTGGCTAATGGTGCTGAAGAGAACTAGCTTGTTTATTTTTCCTATTGTAAATGATCTATTTGTTCTGCCTAAATTCTTATAAGTTTTTTCCCTTTGCCTTTGAGTGTATTATTTTCATTAGAATTTGTTGTTGTTCATTCTTAAAGAAATTTTCTTAAGACACAGAGTCTCTTAATTCTTGATCACAGCTTCTTAATATATCTTTGAGTATTTTCCTTTTCTATTAGTTTTGACCTTTTCTTTAAACATTTGATAAATTGTCATTGTCTATCTTCATAGTTATATTCTCCCTAAAAATATTCCATCTCTTTTGTTTTGCCTTCCGAGATTGAGACCCTTCCTTATTTTCAGTGTTGCTATTTTTATTTTTTTGTTCGTGTCTTAGTTTTGGAAAGGGAGATTTTGGGGACTCTGTACTTTTGCCACTATCTTTTCCACAGTGTCTGGATCTGTTCTTGAAAGAACCATTTTGTAAGTCCTTTTCCCCAACTCTTTAAAATTATTTCAAGAAGACATTTTGAGGGGCCAGCCAGATGGCATAGTGGTTAAGTGTGCATGCTCCAATTTGGCGGCCCGAGGTTTGCAGGTTTGGATCCCCCACGCTCACTGACACACCACTTGTCAAGCCATGCTGTGGCGGCGTCCCATATAAAGTAGAAGAAGATGGGCATGGATGTTAGCCCAGGGCCAATCTTCCTCAGCATAAAAAGAGGAGGATTGGCATCGAATGTTAGCTCAGGGTTAATCTTCCTCACTCCCCCCAAAAAAAAGAAAAGAAAAGAAGACATTTTGAGGCTCCCCCATGGTTAAAATAACCTCTTCAGTTTTTAAAAGTATTCCATCTCATTACTAAAAATTGTGTTTATTTGTGTATTAAAATTGTAATTATTTGTGGCAAGGGGTTGGGGAACAAAACCTTCCAGATTAATAGATGAAATATGTAATCACTCAGGTGTGGTGAATTGAGGGGACAGTGGGAAGACTTCCTATCTAAGTACCTCCCCAACTGCTGTGGTACCTAGTATTTCTCCAAAAACATGTCATTGTTGCTCCATTAGCATGAAATTCATTGATCAGATTTATTTATCTGGAAAGAGGCCACATACTCCTAGATGGATGTGCTTCTACAGAAGGAAGTGGAAGGTAGCACAAGTCTTGGTTTTTCCTACCAGTAGGGAGAGGAAATTAGAACAACAGAAGAAACCACTTTAAAAGATGACTTTTTTCCCCCAGGAAATTTTTTTCTTGTATATTGAGAAATTTTGGGATATTTAAGTGTAATTTTGAGTGATATGAATCCTTCAGATAATGTGCTAATTAATTTATTACCTTCCCTTTACAACTTTTCAACTCTTCCCTGTTGAAAACCTATTCAACAAGAAGAGTTTTGTGAAGGAGTATCTCAGTTAGCAGAGTATCCCAACCAACCAGCAAAGGAATGCAGCCAATTGACCCTCCAAGAGGATCCCCATTGCCATGAGAGAAAAGAGATTCAATGCCTTCTCTGATCATGGGTTTTCTCTTGTTGACTTTTGATCTTAGTATTAGCGGATATGTTACTGACCTCCTCAGCAGAGGCAAAGTAGAAAGACAGAGAAACATGTTCTAGACTAGGAAAAATTCCTGTTTCCAAGTCTCTAAAGAATAACTAATAAAGAAGAAGCAGAAACTTGATCATGATAGTTCAAAATGGGACTCAGACCAAGTTTCACATAGCAAAAAAATGCTATTGAATAAATTTTTGTGGTTTTTCAATGTTTTTGGAAGCCTCTTTTTTGAAAATGAATATTTTGAATATTTGTCGGCACTGTGGAGTACAGACACTAAGTCTAGAGATAGGATGATGTTCTTTGTTTACAAGTTGATGGGTTTATCTTCGTTGATCATAATTCCTTGACTCTGAGATGTCTTTGATTATATCACACACCATTATTTCATGTACCACTAATAAAGGAAAAATGGTCCCTATGGAATTCTGACATGTTTACAGTGCTGTAGCGTGCATCCTGATTTCAGAGATGTTCATGTGTGAAAGAATATGCATCTTAGAATCAGTGAGATATAGTATTTTTCTCAAACTGGCAAAAACAGGGAAAATTGATATCCTCAACAGCTTGTCCATATATCTGAGATATTTAACAATTCAGTCAGTAAATAAATTTATGCTTTAAAATTCTATTTACTAGGTATGATATTTCCAAGAACAATCAAGATTATTGATAGAGTACTGTTAATATTCAGAAAATTAACCAAGTGATCTTACATCTATAGAGGATGCCCAAAATTTCCCCTGTCATGTTTTTAAGAATTTATACTATTTGATATTTTCCTTCCTGAGCAAAGCAATCTAGTCCCTGCAGTGCTTCCCAGACCAGGGTGGAGGGACTGCTTCTGTTGTCTTTCCCAACTCTTTCTGCAGCCTTTCGAGCAAGAGCCTCTCATTTCCACTGTTAGGTACCGCTAATCCTCAGAAACGAATTTTATCACCTAACATCACCCCGAATTAAAGTCTAAAGTTCTGCCCACTTGTCACATTCGTGAACATTCCAGGAAATCTGACCCCTGAGCTCATGGTACTGCTATGTTCTCTGGTTTGGGGCTGATCAATGACCTCTTGCTGCAAGATTTAGGCAGCTCCACCTGAGAACCTTATTATTAGTATTTATAATGCTAAGATATTATAGTATGTGGGGAATAATATAGTTTTTGCTTGGGGGAAAGGATTTATACATGGTGAACAATTACCCAGCGTCCCACCACCTTTGCCATTGGTGGCATTTTAGCACGTTTCCTTCTACTTTTTCACCCTACAAATTTTTGCATAGTTGAGATAATTTTCATGTGCAATTTGTGTGATGCTTTTTCACTTATTCTCATGTTATTAAAAGAGTATTGTTAAGGGCTTTTAACCAGTTGATTGTTTTATTCTGCAGATATATTAACTATTCTCCTATTGCTTGTTATTTGGGCTGTATCCATTTTATTTTTGCAATTTTGAACCACGTTAAATGAACATCTCTGTATGCAAATCTCTGTCCACATTTTGACGGAGGGACATAATCAACTTTAATACAATTTATTTGTACTGTTAAATTTCTTTCAAGGGGAAAATAAAAAGGTCATAACAATTTATAACCCAACCAAAGGGATAGGAGTGAATATGAATGGTTGTGTTAAATGTTATTATTATATTAGTTCAAAGTTGAACTAACTGGGACACAGATAGATAAAGTTGTCTTGTTGCTGGTGACACTATCTGTTGTGTGTGGAGCTGGGGATCTAGTGTCCTGTCCACGTAGCCAGTATCTTCCCCACTTTCACCATAGCCTCATAGAAATTCATTATCCTTGAAATTATACCAGGAGGCCAACAGCAGCATAAAAGCTCCTAGTGGTGCCTGGCTCGCTCATATTTGGTCTTCTTCAATAAGGGGTCGGTATGGCCAAAATCACCAAACCAGATCCATGTTTGCCTTGCAAACCAAACAAACACTTCTGTTTTTGTTTTGCTTTGTGTCTGGACTAATTCTTAGCACCTCTTCTGCCTGTGAGCGATTTGTCACTTCCTTCTGTAAGACTGGCACCAGCAGACATGCAGTCTCAGAGGATCCCGGGGAGGAAGCGAGGCCGACCCCCACTTCACTCAACACCTATGAAGATGGCAGTTCATAACCTTTATTCTGCTTCAGCTGGTTCTTTACCAGCAGTGAAGATCCCAAAGAAAAGAGGGCGGAAACCCGGGTACAAGGTACGGCTCCATCATCTCGTTTCTCCAAAGTGGTGTTGGGCTGGGGCATGGGTGTTTGGGCAGAACTCCACTGCACAATGTGATGAAAGGTTGGGAGCTGGGTAAAGACAGGATGAATAAGTTTCTCTCAATGGAGCATGTGACGGACGAGGCCTCATTGTTGCAACATGGCACACAATGCATGCTGTCTCGGTCGTGTGCGTTTTTACAAGTGGAGAAAGCAAATTACACCAGATGGGGAAAGTTGTAAGGCGAGCAGATTTTAAGGTCATAGCTAAACACACATTATTAAGCCTCGCATCTAAATTAGTGTTTCAGACATTGAGCTTTCCCCTGACTGTGCCTACTAGGGCGGCTCTCAAAGCCACTTTCCAGAACTCATAAGTCTTTTATTTCGGTAGAAGCAGATGATGTTCCTGAGACATTTAAATTAATAATGCGAGCAGGCTGGTGTTAAAGTTTTCCCAAACAAAACCTTAACAAGGGGACTCATGAAAATTCAGGGTGTTAATTCATAGTTTCCTGCTCATAAAAGATGCTGACGTCAAGTTTGGCTACAAGGAGGCATATCAGGCAAAATTTAAATCCTGTGACTCTTTTAAGAATTAATGATTTGGAGAGGCTGAGGGGTGGATAATAAATTCTCTGAAGTAACTGCAAACATATAAAGCAACCCAAACCCAAGGGAGAGCTTCTCCTCTCAGATGGTTTTGAAGAGGCTACTAGAGAAGAAAGAATATTGACCTTGTTTTCCACAAGCCTTTCGAGCATTAGAAAATGAGCTACAGAAGTTTTCTTTCACTTATTTTTCTGGAAATAAAGAGCTTATGTTTCCATCTTGAGATCTGAATACTCAAACCAAAATGCAAATTGGCAATTAACTCCCATATATTTAGGAAAACGTATGGAAATTATTTCAGGTCAGCAGAAAGACAAAGCTTCCAGAAAAATTGGTAATGAATTCAACCTTTATCCCTTTGGTTTTCCATAATTCTTCCAACGGCTGGAAAATAAAAATGGTAGGTTGGAGGAAGGTGACTCAAAGTTATTTGGGGGTCATTGGTTTTGGTAAAAGAACCTTTTACTCAGCCATCTCCGGAGGTTAAGTCCTCTGTCACAGGTTATTTTTCTAACAAAGAGAGCCTCCTTTTTCTCATGGGCACAGCAGCCTCAGAATTGTGTCTCTGAAGCTGGCACAGGGCAGGTCTCCCGGCTCAGCTACCTGTGCAGTTGCCGGAGTCTGGGAGTTGAATCTGGAAGGCTGGAGCAGGGCAGCCCTTCTGTTTATAGAGCCAGGGAGCAAATCCAGGATCTGAAGAAACAGGCTGAAAACTGCCCTCTCCTATTTGGCTTTCTCCTGCTCCCCAGGGAGCTGTGACCCAAGAATGAAAATTACCAACAGACATAGCATTTCTGGGGCCAGGAAAAATGGAAATTCACTGCATGGACTGAACCCGACATTGCAATTTTCCTGTCTCCTAAAAAGGGCGGTTTCAGTGCTCCTAACACCCAGAGACACCTCAGGCAGGAAGAAAGCTTCAGGGTGGTTAGTTGACAACACAGGCTCTGCGCAAAGCAGGCTGGTCTTACGCCCATGGCTCACAGGGTTTCTTTTCTGGGGACAACACAGCTCTTCCTTGAGTCCACTTCCCATATATTTTGGGAAATGTGTGGGAATTGTTTCAGGCCAGCAGCTCCCAGACAGCTCCCCAATCATGGGCTTAGCATTCCAGAAGAACGGCTCCAAGCCAGGTGCCAGTCTGCATGAAATTCCCACCCACTCACGATGACATGAGAAAAATAAGAACAGTCTTCATAGAGCTAAAATGATTCCACTTAAAAGATCATCATTTACTTGGAAATATCTGCTTCCTACTATTTTGGTGTGAAAGTTTATTTTATTTTCTTAAATGTTGTATATGGTCAGGATTTGGTAATTTAAAAAAATGTTCTTACTTGCCAAAACAAAGTTGGCAACCTATTAAGTCTCTCCAGTTTTATTTTGACAATTTCTTAGACCCTGAAGCCCCATTTTACCATTAATGAAAGGGTTTTAATGGTGGAGAAGCCGGCAAGGAAACTGTACAGTTTCATTCCATTTACCAAATGGTCACTAATTTGGCAGTTTTAACTATCTAGGACACAGTTGGGGAGACAGAAGTTGTTAAAAAAAAATCCTGAGCAAGCGAAATAAGATATTACTTGGTCTACTCTCAATGATCTTGTATTTTATTACTAAGCAAATGCTTCCAAGCCCTCCCTCAGAGTCTATTTACCTTTATTGCAGACGCATTTCTTACAAGCTTGATTATAGCTGTTAAAAGCCTTAGATTTGAAGGGGAAGATATTATGGGAGAGAAGACTGCACACACGGCTGGACACCGAGAGGATAACAATAATTATTGTTATAATTATATGACATTATATTAATAATATACAATAATAAAATATACAGTAATATCAATATTATAAAATAATAAATGACATAATTTTGTTATGTCAATAATGATGTTATTATGATATATTTGTACTAACAGTATTATCATAATAAAATGATAGACGTTTGAGCCTTTGGCAGGCTCTTTCCCAGGAGATTCTGAGGTCCCCTGGCTGTGCCGACTGTATCACAGGTCTATGCTGGTTGACATTTGTCGCTTCTTACCTGGTGCCGTCCCAAGCTGCTCTGTCAATCACCCCTGTGCATGTGGAAGCTCCCTCTGGTCCAAGTATGGGCACAAGCCTCTCCCTTAAAGACCCAAGCACAGCTAACATAGGCTGTGACATTTGACCCCTTCTCTGAGTCTTGAGAATAACAGAGTGAATTACAAGCAGAAAAGAGTCAGTTAGATGTCAGTGCTCCAGCGTCACAGGTCACGCCTCCTTCCAGGGCCCGTCTGGCCATCTCTCTCTCGGCCCTGGCCTGCAGCCACATTGCTGGGGCGTGCTCACTGCTGTGAGAGCATCATTTTATGGCCTGCTGCCCCCTTCTCGCCCCAGTCAAACGAAGCAAAACCTCTTAACATCATATTTTCTCTGAAGAGCCATACTCTGCCATGAAAACAGCCTTCTTCATTATCAAACAGAACACGTATGTCTCAGTTTGAAGCATCTGCTATTGGTTTAGGTCCTTGTTCAGAGGTCAACAGATGGATTTTCCTTACATTTCATGACTAAAAAGACCACTGAGGCCTGTTTAAAGAGATAAAGAGAGAGGGTCTGCACCGAAGAGAAACCCTAGCTTCCATTCTACAGACTCAGCTGATTATAATGTCTTCAAATAGTGGGATTTCCAGTTTCCATGTCTTTATTTAAGCAGGAAGAAAAAAGTGCTGGATTTTTAAAATAGTCATTTGTCCCCAATACATAATAATAATAATCAATGCTAACAGCAATAATAGTCATACATAACATTTATTGAGCATTTCTCAATAAATGGGCCCAGGCCTAAGCACTTTATATATATTTTCTTATCTGATCCTTGATAGTTTGATAGTGAAGGCAGTCAAGAAAATTGCAGGAATTAGGCATGAATTGACCAAGCCCCAGAGCCTGAAGCCACTTAGTTTTGGGCCAGCAGCACTCTACACCCTGGCAATCTCTTTGTATTATTGTTCAGAGTAGTAGTTCTGCTTCTTGATTCAAAAAAGAGTAAATTATGTTCTGTCTGCTCCATTTAATGAGCTAAGAAAAGTGTAACATATTCTAGAAAGAGTATCATCCCTGAAATATTAAAAACAAGTGGTTAAAATGTTCTAAAATGTTAGTCATTGTATCATTCAGGATACAAATTCAGCTGCTGTAACAAAGGCCAAGTAACAGTGGCTTAAAGAAGATAGAAACTAATTTCTCTCTCGTATTAAAGTCTGAGAAGCCCATCTGGGGCTGACACAATGGCTCCATGGTGTTGGGGACCCAGGCTCCGTCTATATTGTTGCTCTGCTATCTTAACACAAAGTCTGTACCTCATGCTCTAAAATGGCTCCTCCAGTTTCCACTATCCCACTAGTCCAGCCAGCAGATTGGGGACAGAGATAGTGGAAGGCACATCTTTCCCTTTAAGGACCCAACCCTTAAAGTTGCACACACCCCTTTCTCTTGCATCTCACTGGCTGGAACTTGGTCACTTGGCCACACTTAACTCCAAGGGAGGCAGGAAAATGTAGTGTTGAGTAACCAGGTAATCAGTTAAAATTCAGGGATTCCACTAACAAAGGAAGAAGGGAGCGTGGATATTTCAGAACAACCAACAGTCTCTGCTAAGTACTTAAAGGACAGTCTTCTGTTAACTGGAAAATTCACTTTATAAAGAAAGTAATTCTCTAATAAACTGGGGTAAATGAAACATTTTATTTTGTTCCCTCTTTCTTACTGTCATCCTTTCCTTCCCCCCAAAAAGTGTATGTTCTTGGCATTGTGTAATAAGGAAGTCAAGTTCACAAAAATCTCAATGAAGAGAATGTTCAAACTTAAGTAGAAAGGATTTTGTTTGTTTGTTTCAACATTTGTTTAAAACCTCTTTCTAAAATATGTTTTCATTAGAACTGTTGAATTGGCTTCAATGCGTCTTTGATTATCTAGATCTTGTATTGCCTTCGAGTCAGATTTATAAACACCAAATGAAGCTTAATAGTATGTGAGGGAAGAATGGGCATCTAATAACCCTTCCTGTGCCATTTTCAAGGCCCCCCCTTACTATTGGTAGGTATGGAGAGCCACCTGTGCCCCGTGGGGGAAATTGATTACACAGGCACAAGGCAGGGGCCATTCCCTCGGGCTGAACAATGTGTGGCACGTAGGGTAGGGACTGTCTCTCTTGCAGTCCTCTGTTGCCCCACCCCCACCTCAGGGCTGGAGCAGGGGTCAAGGTTGAGGCTCAGCAGCGGGTCTGGGGCAGTGGTATGCTGGTAAATGTTTCCCAACAGCATTCTGCGTATAACTCCGGCATGAATGTTAGTTGATATTTTTGCTTGTGTTAAGAAGTAAGGGAAATGTAAACAGTG